TATCATGGACTTGTTTGAACTGCGCTCTAGGACATCTGTATCTTCTTTACTCAGTAGGTGCGCTTGTTGCACGTTTTCTGCCGCTTTTAGCCTTGTTCAGGTTGTAAACACTTCCGGTTAGCATAAACTTCTTGACTATGGCCAAAATTACGTTGCGTGATGGGGCTTTGCGTGCTTTGAAGTGACTGCGAAACTTCCGCTGAGTGAGCACGATTGAGTTCGTTTCAAAGTAAAATTGTACCATCTTTATTTTTTCGCTGGTTTCGTAGGGTTTCATATTTTCAAGTGCTGGTACTTATCAGCATTCAATTCTAACAAATCTAAATATATAATTCAATATGCTCTCAATTCAAAATACCCTGATGCTCCGGGCTAAGGCCATATAGAGGCTGTGGCAAGGCTGTGGTATTTTGGTATTTGCTCCGGGCCTAGCCTTGGCCTATATATGGCCTTGGGGCCTAGACTCCGGGCCTTGAATCAAGGCCATTGCTCCGAGACAAATTTCCGCAAAATATTTTTTTATGCAAATGCACGTGTTTTTTATTAAGGAGTTGACACCTCTGCTTTGAAAGAAAATTCATTTGTTTTCTTTTCTTTTAGGATCAATGAGCATCATGGAAAGTAGCGAGGCCATGGCCCATTGAGCGAGCATAGCGCTACAGTGGTAAAAGCTGCAACTCATTTTGTTTATCACCGTTTATTATAATTTCTAAGCTTACTATCCCTCGCCAGAACTATCAATATACTTTATAAGCTGAGCGGGGAGGTTTCAGATACGGAAACTGTTTTGCTGCCGAGTCACTTCCTCTAAAGTGAGACAAAGTGGCAATAAGGAATCACAAAAAGGTACGCAAATAAGAAAACTCATTCAAATAGCATGTTTAAACTGCAAGTTCATTACACCTCAAAACTGTAATATTCATAGTTTTTATTGTTTTCACCCTGGATGATGTCCAACATATATCATTCATTGTCTTGTATTCCAAATTCATCGTTTCCATTGATTCAAACGTTCACACATGGTAACTATTGGTGTCTCTCGTTTGTTTCAGGTCCCGTGATCAGAAGCAATAGGCCGGTGTCGCGCTGGGGAAGATGGTTTCTTCGCTGTTCTTCCTCGCCGTCTGCTGCAGTCTTTGCGGTGCGACTGAATGATAGACGCCGCGCACAAGTCGGTGGTGGTGGTGGTGATGACAAAAAGAAAGTTACAAGTACTTGTTTGTTCATATCGTAAATACCTACTCGTAAAACACAGTTTTTTTTTTGCTATGGAAACCGAGTTATTTTATCCCGTAGTCTTCTCTTCGTGAGTCAAAGTCACATGGATCGAATGATCCTGCTCATTTCGACAAGGGTTGCGTATTTTCTTTTCAGTTATATCGGGAAAACCTATAAACGTACACTGGAAAATATCCATCCATTTTGACACTAAACATACACATTAGCGTATGCGTCCGATGTTGTGTTCGACGAACGCTGTTCGTTTGTACTCGAGTCGAGCATGGCTTTTCCGGTTATTTTGCCGACCTCGCTGCCTGCTTAGTTTATCTTTGAGCACTGAAAACTTCGACGGTCACTGAAAAAGGATCAGTTCTACAAATGACAAATGAGTAGACACTGGAGTTATTGCAATCACTTTTGTCAGATGTCGTCTTTTGTCAGATCACCCCCGGCCAAATTATCCATTCTCCCCTACGCACATATTCAACCGTTCCTGCCTATACGGTTGCTCTATTCTATTCTCACTCTCTATTCTATTCCAGTGTTAGCACGCGGCCAGTCGTCAGCTGACGAATTTCGCTGTGAGTCAGCTGGCTACCACGAGGACCCCAACAACTGCGCACTGTTCTACCGGTAAGGAGCAGAGGCGATTCGTTAATGAGGATGGCGTAAATAAGTAAACAGCTCAAGGCCCATAGCGAGCTGTGCGTAAAAAATCGAATAAAACCGACAAAAATGGCTGTGTTAGCTGACGAATACTTTTTTGGAACCATTAGCCGCGTTTTCTGAGGTATATTCTTTTCGTCTGCCATTGAAATGCGGACGTCCGCAAAATGACCTTCGTAATCGGCGTGCCCTAAAGCCCCAAAAAACAATTGTTGGAATGCAGTTCCAGGTGAAGATAACTGCGAAATGCAGTCGTGTGCCATTCTGCGTGTTTTGCTATCTCCGATCAGTGACTGTATGCTGCATTTTCAGATGCATTTCATTCTGGGGAGGCAAACAACTCCGGAGAGTATCGTTTTCCTGCAAGGAACCCACCGTGTATGACGCCAATCTCAGTGTACGTTCAACATGGCGGATTGGTGTTTCCAACATGGCTCTAGATTAGATAGTGAATCATAGAGAACAAGCATGGATAGGTAATCGGCGCTAGAATGAAAGCTTGCAATGCTTGGTGTAATTATTGGTATGAAATGGTTGGTAATTTATGGCTGTTAGTCGCTTGATTTATTATAACCTTCCACTTGAATCGCGTGAAGGTATGTTAAAAATTGTATTTTTACCTTTTGTAGCTTTAGACGTGACCGCCGGTATTCTAAGAAAAACGTTCGGCTGAAGCCCCATAACAGCCTGTGATAAACTTCAGGCATCAAATTGTCGCGAACGGATCGGATAGGCGCGGCAGCCACGATGAATGAGCCCTGTTGTGTTGATTGACCACCAGGTAATCGTCCACATTATGCGACTACTCTTTTACCCCATTCGATATCCGTTTTCTGGCGGTATATTTTGTATTGCCCACAGGTTTGCCAGTTTCCATGGCGACTGAAGCCGCCGTGTGTAAAGAACACGGATGGAATCTGGGTGCGGGAGTCGCGGCTACCGACGGTGCTGCCACCTACCGAAGCGCTGCCAAACATCACGGTGGTCGAGCTGGGGTCGCCCGATTACGTGCCGTCACCACCGCCCAAATACCGGGTCAGCTGGGACTGGTGAAGTCATATTTTAATCAGATCTTATCGTCTCATTAGAAAGTAAATTGTGTAATCATACGACAATTTCCATGAATTTTGTGTCGAGCTTATAACGCGCCTTTCATCGAAGTTACACCAAGGTTTCAGGCCTCGCGAACGCTATTGGAAGTGCGCGGAGGCTGGTCTAGGTACTAATGGTGCGTGCCTTTCTCTGCAGGTGGCAGCAGGGAGCCCCTACAACTGCCCTGGCCCGGGCGAGTATTTCGCTGATATACCGGACTCCTGCGTATTTTACTATCAGTGCCTCGAGATAGAACCCGGCGTATTAAATGGTAATTTGACTTGGTGCTCAGTATAGGCTATAGAAACCTTTGGATGCTGGGACCTAAGCCTGCACATGTAGGCCCGAAAAGGTTATAAAGTGAAAGCGAATCTTTAACTGGATTCGTTTCGTTACTCATAAACTGGGTTCTCGGGTGTAATATTGCAATCGGATTTATTCTTCAATACATCACGCACTTTTAGTCGCTCTGTCATTACGACCTTGCCTTGTCCAATAAAAAACAATCGATGATTATGGGTAATCACTCGTGACTCAACAGTCAACAGTCTTTGTATGAATCACTACAGCACCGTACTTAGCTGGTCACTAATCACTGACAGGACAGGTAACATGCCTTTTTTCCAACTGTGACAGTTATCTTTTTTCGCCCCCTCCGCAGCCGAGCTGCACCGCTGTCGGTCAGGTGAAATCATCACATCCACCAGCGGCGGCTGTATCAGACCCTTCCCGCTACCGGACTGCGCCGAACTGCCGGAGGAGACCCTCAGAGCCCGCGGCCTGCCGCTAGCTCCGGAGAGTGGGAGCAGACTGGACGATGAGAGGGATTTCTACCTGGAGCTGGAGTTTAAGAAGTGAATGCTGGTCGCGGAATGGCGGGGAGGTCTTTAGGTCTGTCTCTTCTGAGACAGACTGTTGATATGTGAGATGGTCTTCTTGTCTGATATTGTCTGTTAGCCTCTGTCTGTTTTGTGTCTGAGCTGCCTGAGACTGTTGTGCGAAAGTGATAATGTATGTCTCATTGGATAATGACTTAAACCAGTCATGTTGGGAAATGATGGGCTTCGTTTGAGCCATCGAGGACCTCAAGTAAGGCATAATTTTCTCGGGAAAGTTCTTATCTTTCCCGAGATGTGAGCTGCTCTAGTGATTACTAAGCTTGATATTAGCCTAAGCTGAGATAAAGCTTTCATGATTGAGCTGGAGCCCTGAAACAGCTGAGGCTGCCTTTGGACAAATGTTGTACATATAATTGTGCTGCGACGAGTCGAAAGACATGGTAACTCGCATCGAGGCGTGAGTTCAGCTAGTTGAAAACATTACTTTGTGGTTTGAGATCAATAAAGTGCGGAATTTACGAGTGCTGACTGTTCATGACATGTTGAAATGGAGATAGGTGGTAGCACTTTATTCTCAAAACGAGGCTCAGTATGTTATCACGGACAGAAGTACCGCATGCCAGGCGATTTGTTGCCCATCCCTTGTAGGTATTTTGTCCCTCTTTATCACCATTAATGTCTCTATGCTGTTTGATAATTTGTAATATTGCTTCCAAGGGAAACATCACCGTGTCTTCAGGGTGTTTCAGTTCCTTATATTCCCTTCATCTTCAATAGCAAACGATAGTTGCAGCATTGCATCGGTTACATCTGGTTTGTCTCGTACTTTTTACCCGACCTGCGTCAACTAAACTACCCAGTGGCCAGTACCCACACGCTCAAGCTGCCGCTAGTTTGCACCGTTGTCGCCAGATGGCAGTGGTGTCTAGCGCCTGATTATATACTGTACCGCAATGCATACTGGGTGAAGATTTGGAAGTGCTGTCTGAGCAAGGAAGCCACTCTGTTTGTCGTTGATTGAGGGACGAAGCTTACTTTGAGTTACGACGGATCTTTTGACACTGATATATTTTATCGATAGAGCAACCATGACACTGCTTATTTCGAAAAACGAATATGAACAGAACGTATTCTAGTTTATACAATCAGCTCGATCCTAGCCGGATGGTCTTCACAGTTTTAGCTCAGACAACGATTGACGCGGAGCGAAACGTGCACTGCATCACTTATGAGTTCCACAAACTAATACAATATCCTACACTTGTACTGAGAACCGTCTGAGGACTTAATTGTGTCGTTACGAGCTAACGATCTTCAGCGAATCCCCGTCTTACGTAAGTGGCTCCGCCTTGTATAGAAAGAGAAACCCCCCGATACCTCTATGATTTGTGCATTCAGGCATAAATGTATGCTCAGAACAGCACAAATTTGTCGAGACGAAAATGTCATTGACAGCAGCTATTACTCTCGTATTTCATTTATTTGCGCTTCCGATGCTATTTCTGCAGCCTCTGAATGTAATCATTAGAGCATAATGAAACTAAGATTTCTGTTGTGTATTACCGAGGTGATATGTTCGTTCAAATACATATGGTACCATTTGTGTTTTCTGGGATTCTGTGAAGTATTCTTCAATCATCATGCGTTAATTATTCAAATGGACACAACGTCGTCTAAGAGGTGGGGAAAAATTGGTAGGTACTGAATCATAGGGAAAAGAAACACGACCCTGTATTTCCAATGTGTATTTCAATTTAGACATAAAATAGATGTCACCGTTAGCACTTGCCTTTTACAGGTGACAAAGTAAAAAGGACTGTTAGTATTTACATATGCAAACCACTTGTGGATATCGCGAACTGTTACAAGCCTACCTGCTTTTGTTTCAAATACAAACGCCATTAGCACTTCCGCAAAGAACTAGATAAATAAGCGCGCATTACAAACAAAGTGTCTGTTGAGCATAGGTCGCAATAATAGAGCGTAATACATCTAAACGTACACGACAGACGTTTGTTAATACTATTTACAACTAGTCTGTATTTTTAAGTTAATCGACATCAATTCAATGGAATCGTCGGCTTCAAACGAAACCTCTATTTCTGGGAAAATGCACGCAAAATGCACCGATATCAATGCAGCGAAATAAACACAAACTATCAAATAAAGCTTAAAACTAGCCACAGATTCCGGATAATATAAATGCGTCAAGCTATGGTTGTATGCTTATCATGTTATGTAATATATTTACACGGCAATATGGGTGCCATTGACCTTGAGAGAGTGGGCACCAAAGCCACCAACTCATAAATGTAGTGACCACCCTCAGTGACCACCTTCAGTAAGCACAAAAATGAAATAAATAATAAAATAAAGTAATACAAACATAGATAAAAAGAATTGCCGGCAGAAAGCGACGTGATCGATTTTCATGAATTACCATGTGGAGTAAGGCTCATCTCTCACTTGTTCTGCGCTTAAAAAGCGACTCATAACTCCACTCACAAAGGGCTATATGACGTCATACAAATATACCAGCCAAAGGGGATGTACCCATAGCGTTAAAACAAATGAACTTACTTATAGCTGGGGAAAACAATGGCGCACAGAAGATGGGAGAGAAACGATAAAAGATGCAAAAACCTCAGTGGCAGACAGAAGTTTCCGGAGTATTCGAAAGAACGGAATAATAGCCGTAAGACGCCATTAGTTCCACATATCATCCGTCATTTCATGCCTTTGAACTTATGATTGACTGATGAGCACACATCACTTCAGAACGGTTACACACCACACATCATTTATAAGAAGACACTCACAACTCACATCTCGCTTACATCTCATCGATAACACCGTACATTTATACGTTGATAAAACGTTTCTTTTTATCCTTCACAATACGATATCTCCAGAACTTCTCGCATCAACATCGACATTCGACACGACATGCGGCAGTCAACGTCATCTACAAGTCTGAAGACGTCAAATTTGATGATAACGCAGCATCAGATGTGGCATCAACATCAAACGCGAGCCCGACGTCCTCGTGAGACGTATGACGTCACTCGTCACATCACATCAGTGACGTCAGACGGCGCCTATGATGCAGCAGGCCAGCCGGGCGCCGGCGTGGCCGGTGGTTTTGCTGTCGCTCTGCCCTCCCAGGCCGAGGTCGTCCTCCCCGGAGTGAATGACCAGAGAGCGGCCAAGGATGTTCCCGTCGCCCGCAAACTGGAGATGGGCAGAGGCAGTCAGTCAGCTGTGTTTGAGTTAATTAATGAAGATAGCCACGCTAGCTGCATAAACGCACAGCATCAACACTAAAATATGTATAGCTAGCACAGCAAATTTAGACTGAGCAGCTCAGACAAAACGACATAACTCAGCTAGATCAGTTGAGAGCAGCGTTGAGTACAGAGACTATTGAGAAGAAATCTTCAAACAAGTATATAGAAACTATAAGGTAACTATTAAAAAAAAACATTTTCACGCCCATAATTTTCATACATATAATTTTTTCGATAAATATGGTGAACCAGACTACGAAGAAGTTCACCTTCAGCTCTCCAGTTCACCAGTCAGCCTCCCCTCTTCACCCCCCCCCCCAATCCCAGCCGCCTCTGTTGTTCCCCGCTCCCCCTTATCATCTCCCCCCCCTAACACCTACCCGTATGCGGCTGTCCCTAATGTTGACATTAGCCACCTGATTGGCATCGGCCTCGATGTTACCCAGGTCACCAACGTGCCGATCGTCGGACGACGGTGACCCGTGGGGGGCACCTGGGGTGAGAGGGGACGGGAGGGAATCAGAAGAGAGAGAGAGAGAGAGAGAGAGAGAGAGAGAGAGAGAAGAGAGAGAGAGAGAGAGAGAGAGAGAGAGAGAGATAGCAGAGAGA